AATAACAACCTGGTCCAAATGGCATACGCTCACCCCTCCAAGAGCCGTCACTGGAATGAGTTGATGTCCACCCGCTATGTGATGTGGATAGCAAGTCATAAAATGTGGTAGTCCATGGGAGTGTAGGTCTGCATGAGATTGCATTGGCATGTCCGATGTGGTGTGGCTGGATGGCAAAGCCGCGCGGAGATGACTGGATGCTGGGAACCTGGGCGTCACTACGCTGTGATGTCAACGCGTTTCGCCTACTGAGTCACGTGAGCTTCTTCAGGATCCTGATTGCTCTGCTCAGCCTCACTCACCTGATGTCCCTACTTTAACTGCTTGTATGCAGTGAACGGCCATGGCCAAACATCTATACTCACCCACCTGTTGGTCACTGAATCTCTAATTGTTGTGTTCAGGATATTATCCCTGCTCAATCGTCCATTGAGTGATAACAGCTTGTCATCTATCTTGGCACCATTGTGACAATTACTACCACTCGTTGGTGTATGAGGACTATCCCTCACAGGGCTATATGGGTCTGCATTGGTTGCATTTTATCTTTTGGAGGATTTATGGACTGCCTCATGAACATATTGGCCTACATCCGGTACTTTTTTAGCCACAATTGATGGTCTCTTATGTCTATATCATTACTATTTTCCTACAACATAGACAGTCTTCACCTCTGATCAATATCACCTATTAGATTATAACTGGGCATCATGGCCCTTCATTCATTTATTTTCACATAGTGTGTTCTGTGTGTGTGGAGAGTATGCCTGTATGCCCGGGCGGGTGTTTTATCACATGGAAAGGTTGTCATATTGTTTTACTGTGTAAGGTGGAGGGAATTTTGCCTTTTTGATATTTGGTATCTTTCAATAAATGCATTGTTTTTAAACCGCAAATTTGTTCTCTTGAGGACTTCTTTTCTAGTGGGTTCTTTATTCACAAGTTTGTTTTTTTGTGTGCCACAATAGGAAGCAGCTTCCTATGGTGGCACACCGAGAAGGGGAGGAGCCAGTAGGGCCGGCGGAGGAGCCGAGAAGAGGAGGATCAGGGTTGCTATGTGCTATACTATTGCACAGGACAGGTACTGTAAGTATACCATGTTTATTATTCTAAAAAATAAAACTTTGACTTTACAAAAGCTTTAACCACTTCTGTGTCACCCAATGCAGAAATACTACTACAGGGCAGCACGGGGGTGCAAAATCACATATATTTACATGATTTTGCAGTTCCGGGTAGGGAGCGTGCACATGCCCTACCTAACTTTGTGGCCTCGGCTGTCAATCATCAGGTCCCGGCCGGTGATTCCTCGCTGAAACCTGGTGATCACCGAGTATCTCAGACAGGGAGAGACCTGTGTATAAATAACACAGATCTCTCCCGTCAGCTCTTTGACACTGCTTTGTATGGCTCTGCTATGCAGAACCATACAAAGCAGTGTGCTTACAGTGTAAAGCACTCACACAGCACACAGCTAACCCTTTGATCGCCCCCGATGTTAACCCCTTCTTGCCCAGTGCCATTAGTACAGTGGTCAGTGCTCTTTATTAGCACTGATCACTGTATTGGTGTCACTGGGGATGTCAAGTCAGTTCCCCCCAGTGTCAGAATGTCTGCTGCAGTCCTGCAGTCCTGCTATAACTGCTGATCGCTGCCATTACTACTAAAAAAAAAAAATTAATTCCAATATATATATATATTTGCCATTTGTAAACACTATAACTTTCACGCAAACCAATTAATTTACACATACTGAAATTTTTTTTAGCAAAGACAAATTTGATTTTTTAAATTTTCTTATTGGACATGTTTAGTAGCAAAAAGTCAAAAATATAGTTTTTTTCTCAAAATTGTCGGTCTTTTCTTGTTTATAAAAAATTTAAAAATGCCCAGGCGATCAAATACCATCAGAAGAAAGCTCTATTTGTGAAAAAAAGGACATAAATTTCATTTGGGTGCAGAGTTGCAGGGTCATATAATTGTCAGTTAAAGTAACGTAGCGCCGTATCGCAAAAAATTGCCTGGTCTGGAAGGGGGTAAATCCTCTGGAGGGCAAGTGGTTAATCTGCTTCTTTTCAAAAGTAAGAAAATATGTACACGTTGATTTAGTAGAACATTGATGTTTCCATCTTGTTTCTATGCTATTAAAAATGCAAAATTCATTGCATAATATAGTAGTACAGAACTGTCTGTGCAGTTTTAACATGCAGGAAAGTGTGCATAAGCATATGACTGTAAGTGTTATTAGTTGAATCTATGCAGGAGGATTTGAACTATTCAGAAGGCTAAGATTAACCCATTATTGGCAACTGTCTCATCTGCAGAAGATAACTAAAACTGTGTTCTTGCCAAAAAAGAGGTTTGCTCAATCTGCTGAGCAATTAAAAATTTCCCTTGTAGTGTAGACCATAGGCATTGTTCTACATGTGTGATTTTTAGTTGCTTGTGAACATGACATTATCTCTTGCAAATGCCATATTAGAAAAAAAATAGACTTTTCTGTAGTTCTTATAGACTTTGGGGGTCATGTACTAAAGGAGTAGTGACTTAGTGAATAGAGTGAAATCGTGTTACCCTCATTCATCCAATTGTGTGCAAGAAATACATATTTTTTTAAATAAATTCCATTGTAGATAATTGGGTATTAACAGTTATAGTTAATTTACGAAGCTAAGTGAGCAATCTCTTCTTCTAGAGCAAATGAACAACCAGTGAATTAAATCTTACCATTACTTGCATGTACAGTAAAATGTCATATGTAATTGAGCTCTTGCTAGAGTTAATAGTAGTCATGGTTTTTAGTGAACTTTACTGCAGAACCCTAATTCTTTTTTGTGTTTTGTGTGGCATGAGGAAGGGTTTGGTCTCTTCTTAGGTATTTCCTGCTGTTTATGACCTTGAAAGGGATATTTCTTTAAGACCCATTCACAGTGGTGGTGACATATCTGCATCTATGATTTTTAATGGTATAACTGACACCTTGCTTTTACCTGCATTTAGGTGGGTCAGTACAGCTACATTTAGAGAAAATAGAATTCTGGGCATTTGGCGACAGATTAGATGCACCAAATGTGCCTAAATGCTAGCACATGTTACACATTTACACCCCGGTCACATCAAACTCTACTTTGAAATCGTGAGCCTTACAGTGACGATTTCAAGGTCGGATGACATTCTGTTTTCAGGTGTGATTTGCAAGCCTTCAGATACAGATGTCTATGCAAATCGCACCAAAAGTAGTCAAAATGGTATATGGCGAGCGCTGTATGTGTCAATAACGCAGCTAGCACAAGAGATAGTGACAGCAAATCTCACAGTGACATATGTGCATAAATTGCAGCGCTAAAAAAAAAAATATATATATATATATATATATAAATCAAAGAATATTATAAAACACCAAATACATATATACCCATAATCTATATTTTTAGTACAAAGAAAGTGGCAAAAGAGCACAGGTCTGCATGATTAGATGGAGGTCTGCAGATCTTCAATCCTGCCAGTCAGAGTTAATTATAAATATAATTATTAATTAATGCCAGCAGCATGGTCAGACATTGGTGGGGAAGGGGGAAAGTGGCAAAAGAGCACAGGTCTGCATGATTAGATGGAGGTCTGCAGATCTTCAATCCTGCCAGTCAGAGTTAATTATAAATATAATTATTAATTAATGCCAGCAGCATGGTCAGACATTGGTGGGGAAGGGGAGATGCTGTCAACCACACTAGCTCAATAACCAGTGCATAGATTTGAACAGGACCAAGTACCATGTACACTGGGTCTTATTGAGGGGTCCCATTGGGGTTTTCATCTTCTAGAGAGGTAAATATGTTTGTGCTTATGATTCTATGGAATGCTGTGCAGCCTGATTCCAGAGAGGTGCTTACATGTTGGATTTAAACTTTGCGTGATCTTCAATTCAGTTCAGACCATAGCATGTTTTATTCTAATTAGTGAAAATGGGAAGTTTTGAGTATTTAAACATTGAAATGTTGAAACATCATAGTTTCTGTATGTGAGAAAAAGGAAACTTTGCTGAGTGTTTGTGTAATTCCATTTGCTGTATTACAAAAAGTTACGCAAATGGGGTTCCCAGTTCAGAAAATTATTGACAAACTCTACAGCTATGCCAGGAAAGAATTTTTAAGCCACAAGAATCTAGTCTGTGTTGCCTCTATGCATTTCAGCAGTTAGGATTCTATTTTGACTGGAGTGTTCCTAAAACACAACATAAAAAAAGAACTTGGAAAGTTGCCTAAAATAACCAATACAATTCTAACTGTAACTTTGTATGCTGTGCTACTAAAATGACAGTCTTTCTGCAGGCAGCAGTCAGTTTTCTTTTCTGATATTGGCAGTTAGCTAGGAGTGACACAGAATCAACATTTCTGATCTGGTTCTTTGACTTGAAACCGGTAAAAGTTATAACACAATATTTAAGGTGGATCTGCACTCAGGTAGTCTGTTGCACATAATTGCAATTCATTCCTCAGTAATCATGCATATGTCATTGTCTGATTACTTCTGGTATTTGATTTTGTCTGATAATGTCAGTGTGATCGACACAGAGTCATTAAATGACTCTGTATATTCTATGCTTGACTTAATTTAGGTTGACATATTATATATAAAAACTCTCATCAAGACATGGGTAAGTGCTTGCTGTCAATTTCTCAAGCACCATAAAGACAAATACGTGTTCAAAGACATGGTGGAAAGGATCATTTACCTAATGATATTGATAGCAATGGATTGATTTTATTGAATCCACATTCTGCAAACCCTCTTCTTAGGCTGACGTTAATGCAATGTGCATGAATAAAACGTTTTTACCTCATATTACCTTATCAAACATTATAGTCTAATGGCCTGTTCACAACAATGGGAGTGTTATGGTCAATTTAGCATGAACACTATTGTACCCTGTGTATCATCATTGGATGTAGGTGTTCCAAACACCTCCATGGCCACAGGTGTATAAAATCAAGCACCTAGGCATGCAGACTGCTTTTACAAACATTTGTGAAAGAATGGGTCTCTCTCAGGAGCTCAGTGAATTCCAGTGTGGTACAGTGATAGGTTGCCACCTGTGCAATAAGTCCATCTGTGAAATTTCTTGCCACTAAATATTTCACAGTCAACTGTTACTGGTATTATTATAACCAAGTGCATGCAACTGGGAACAACAGCAACTCAGCCACAAAGTGGTAGGCCGCATAAAATGACAGAGCGGAGCCAGCGCATGCTGAAGCGCACAGTGTGCAGAAATCCTCAACTGTCTGCAGAGTCAATAACTAAAGACCTCCAAACTTCATGTGGCCTTCAGATTAGCACAACAGCAGTGTGTAGAGAGCTTCGTGAAATGGGTTTCCATGGTCGAGCAGCTGCATTCAAGCCTTACATCAGCAAGTGCAATGCAAAGTGTCGGGTGTAGTGGTGTAAGCATGCCACCACTGGACTCAAGAGCGGTGGAGACATGTTCTCTGGAGTGATGAATCATGGTTCACTGTCTGGCAATCTGATGGATGTGTCTGGGTTTGGCAGTTGCCAGGATAATGGTACTTTCCTGACTGCACTGTGCCAAGTGTAAAGTTTGGTGGGGGGGGGGGATTATGGTGAGGGGTTGTTTTTCAGGGTGTGAACTTGGCCCCTTTGTTACAGTGAAGGGAACTCTTAAGGTGTCAATATACCAAGACATTTTGGACAATTTCATGCTCCCAGCTTTGTGGGAACAGTTTAGGGATGACCCTTGCTGTTCCAGCATGACTTCGCACCAGTGCACAAAGTAAGGTCCATAAAGACGTGGATGAGCGAGTTTGGGGTGGAGGAACCTGATTGGTTCTGACCTCAACCTGATAAAACACCTTTGGGATGACTAAGAGCAGAGACTGTGAGCCAGACCATTCTTCCAGACCTCACAAATGTGCTTCTGCAAGGAAGGTCAAACATTCCCATGGACACACTTCTAAACCTTGTGGACAGCCTTTCCAGAAGAGTTTAAGCTGTTATAGCTGCAAATGGTGGGCCAACTCAATATTGAACCCTATGGACTAAGACTGGGATGCCATTAAAGTTAATGTGTGTGTAAAGGCAGGCATCCCAATACTTTTGGCAATATTATTTATATATATATATTTATAGAGAGAGAGAGAGAGAGAGTGAGAGAGATGAGAGAGAGAGAGAGAGTTTTATAGAACATTTGTTTAGCTCATTATATGAAAGTAAGGTTAATAATATAACGTAGATTACAAAATCTTCAGTTTTACTCAAATTAGTTAATGCAAAAACTACTACATCTAGTGTTTGTATGACCTCCATGACTTGTAAGGACAGCATCAAGTCATCTAGGCATGGAATGAACAAGTTGGCAACATATTGAAACATCTATCTTTTTCCATTCTTTAAGAATGACCTCTTTTAGAGCCTGGATGCTGGATGGAGAGTGATGCTCAACTTGTCTCTTCAGAATTTCCCATAGGTGTTCAATTGGGTACAAATCAGGAGACATATTTGGCTACTGAATCACTTTTACCCTGTTCTTCTTCAGAAATGCAACAGTGGTCTTAGATATGTGTTTTGGATCATTGTGATGTTGGAAAAGTGCCAAGGGCATGGAGTGATGGTAGCATCTTCTCTTTCACTATAGAGCAGTACATTTGTGAATTCATGATACCATTAATGAAATGCAGCTTCACAGAAGGACACTGCCAACACCACGTTTCACTGTAAGCACCATGCATTTTTCTTTGTACTCCTCATCTTTGCGATGCCATACAGTTTTGAGGCCAGTTTTGCAGCTATCAGTTCCAAAAACATTTATCTTGGTCTCACCACTCCAAAGTCCCTGTAGTTGTCTTCTTTTTGTGCATGGGCCCTGGCAAATTATAGGTGGGCTTTTTTGTGCATGGGCTTTAGGAGAGGCTTCCTTTGTGGACGGCACCCATGCATGCCATTCCTCCGCAGTGTATGCCATATTGTGTCACGGGAAACAATCACCCCAGTTTGGCTCTCTACTTCTTTAACTAACTGCAGTGAACTTGCATGGCGATTTTCTTAAACCCTTCTCATCAGAGGATGCTCCTGTTGAAGTGTTAACTTCTGTGGATGGCCTGGACGTCTCTGAGATGATTGCAGTTCCATCTTTGTTAAATTTTTGTATCACATTTGCTACATTATTCTGACCAATAAGTAAAGCTATGCTGATCTTCTTGTAGCCTTCACTATTCTTGTGTTAAGAAATGATTTTCTTTCTCGGGCCTTGTGACATTTCTCTTCCATGTGGTGCCATTGCTGACAGCATAAAATAAGAAGGGGGTTTTCTTTGATAAGTAATGCCCTTTTATAATCAACTGTCTGCTGGACATCGGTTTAATGAATAATTAAGCTCACCTGTAGTTGAATTCTTGTTAATTAGGATTTTGTTGTCTAAAATGTAGCTTTGCTCCTAAGACTTTCATTGGGGTGTATTCATTTTTGCAACATGGTCTTGAATGAATTTGTTAGGATATATACTTTTCTGTGTGTGCATACTAACAAATATTGTTTGCGATCAATGGCTGACATTTGTGGCAGTATTTTGTAGTATAGTGTCCCATAGTAAATATTGATTCTGAAAGGAAAGTAAAGGTTTTCTGACAAATCTTTTGGGTTGTACTCATTTATGCTTAGCACTGTATGTATGTATATATATATATATATATATATATATATATATATATATATATATATATATATATATATTGATATACTCTCCCCTATATAAACTACACTAACATTGCTTCTTTTTAGGGGCCCCCAGGATGGCTATGCTATATTGTACTAGTATCCACAGCATATTAGCACATAATGGCACACATACCTGTCAAACCAAGCCCTCCAGTGATGCTCTGAGATCGAACCAGTACTGTTTTAGTAGGAAATCAATATCTCTTATAAGGTTATATAATATAACTATGGCATGGAAAAACAAAGAAAGCTTGACCACAGAGTCTCTTTGGTGAATACTACACTGTCAGAAATAATATAGACTTTCCTTGATTACGTGCACATATGTATTTTTTTTTTACATTGAAGATTTAGGGGGGTGGCAGGTGGTGAGGTGTGCTACACTCTTCCTGCAAATCCTTATAGCACTATGTAAATTAGTGGGATCCGGAGTTCTTCTTTTCCCTATAAGACGTTACAAATTATGTCTTACACCTATACAGAATGTTGTATCACATCCAATCTACAGTTAAACAGCTCATTGCTAGTTCCACTTTTTCCTGTAAGAAGTTATTAATGATGTATTTTCTTTATGATACCAGATAAAGTAAAAGCTAATCAGTAAAATAATAATCATTGTATTAAGATACTTGATGTCTACCTGCAGACACTGAAATCTGTTAAATGATATTATCAGTTATTTTAAGCGATTTCAGCAGTTGATTTAATCTCTTATTGAGCATGCAGTTTTTACCTTTTACCCCTTGCCTATCCTCCTTTTTAAGCTGGTGGCATGATTACTACCCTAGGTTTCCTGTTTTGGGGTGGCTTCTTTCCTTTGCAACCTCCTATGGTGTCACCCCTGCTTGCAACCTTCCTGTTTAATTGCTGTTGTCCTGCCCACCTTAAACCAGTGCAAAAGGCAGTCATGGTAGTGCAGTGCCCATTATCAACAAGATTTTTAATTCAGATGCTTTTTAATTGGTTGATAAGGTTGATAAGAGTAAGTGTACATTGCATAGCATTATGCTTTACTGTGCAGTAAAAAACAAAAAAAGAACAAAATGATGGATCCACCTGCAGCTCCTTGTGAAAAATATTGTATTTGTATACAATGTATACTTATGTTCTGTATCTAATGTGAGACATAGAACTATGTGTATTTGGACAAAGATCCCAGCTAATTACTGACCATAGAATATAATATTCATTTTCATGAGATTTCACTCCAGCAAAGGCTACAGCTTGTGTGGCCAACATCAGCCTCTCAGCTGGAAGTCGGTACTGTTTAAGAAAACATTCCACTATTGTTGAATCGAACGGAGATGAGAGATCATAGAATCAGGAACAGGTGGTAAAAGACAGTGTCACTTTTCATGAATACTCTCCTGTGTGGATTTTCATTTTTCTTTTTAACCAAGTAAACAATTCCTTGTCTGACATGCTACACGGGGAGTCTCGCTTTCTGGCAGCTCAATGCTAATCTTCCAATGCAATGACTTTCACTGTCTGAGGAAAACAGTCCTCATTATTTTACAGATCATACATAAGGTATGGCCTGATAATGACCAGAAATGCAAGAGCTCTGTCATCGGTGGATCTATTTAATAAAGTCGGCAAACAGCTTGGTGCCAGGTGTAGCCAACCCTTAGGAACCAAAAAACAATCTATCTTGATAAGACTTTACTAAAAATACATTTTAATGATTTGTGTGAGTGTATCCTAAATAAATAGTTTATTAAAAGGGTAAAAGGGCATTTGCTGTAGACCCATTGGATCGAAGTCTCTTACCAAGACATGTGCAGGTAATGGAGCGTGGATTGTGAGGCAGCAAATGAGATTATATTACAAGACACAGAAACTTGCTGTTACATGGGAGCCACCTTTACATAGTCCAGCCTTCAAAGATCACAGCTTTCAGTCACTTCATGGTCTGATATGTTCGACAATATTCCAGTAAAATGAAAACGCTTCATTCCCTTGTTTGTCTTGCTGAACCACAAGATTTATTGTGAAGGTGTACAAGCTTGCACAGATAAACAGACATCAAAGAAGAAACCTTGATGGGTTTTCACACAATATGTGTTTACATGTATAGAGCTCTTCCTTATGAGTAAGCACTTAGTGTGAAATCATGTGTCAAGGATTCTTCTTTGTTGTTGGTTTATCTGTGCATGGCTATACATCTTTAAAAAAAAAAAAACCCTATGATCATTACATGCATTTGTATGTGTTAACAGTTGTCCTATACATGCATACATTGTAAATTCTTGAATGTCATTGCCAGTCTTCCATATAATTGTCTATATTAGTTTTTTTTGTTACATAGTTAGGTTAAAAAAGACACCTCTAGTTCAATTAGTAAAAAACAAACAAATACAGTTGCAAGAAAAAGTATGTGAACCCCTTGGGATTACGTGAAGTTTTGCATGAATTTGGGCATAAAATGTGCTCTGAACGTCATCTAAGTCACAACAATAGAAGAACACAGTCTGCTGAACATAATACTACACAAAACATTAGATGTTGGCATGGTTTAATTGCAAAGCTGGCAGACCAGAGCAGCAGAAGCTAGCAATGTCACATGTGGTGCACAGCATGGGAGTAATATAGCAGGAGGTGAGTGGGGACTGGAGAGAGAGGAGGATCAGCAAACCAGAGGATCAGCAGAGCTACTGGTTACTATTGAGTGGGGCATCAGCAGACCTAGGGGTCAGCTGAGTGAAGGTACTAATAAACTAGAAATATGCTGAACGAGTGTACCAATACTGAACAGGGGTATTAAGGAGCTAGGGATCTGCTGGGTCCCTTTAAAACAAATAGAAAATCAACATACACAAAAGGCATCTGCCAAGCTTCATTAAACCTTCAAAAAAGCATCAATTAAGCATCAAAAACACATAAAAAAATCATGTTGAAGTGGTAGGTGCTTCAATGTGTGTTGAAGTCAAAGCAAGTGTAAATGAGCTCTTACAGCCTTTCTATATGTGAAGGTTAAATATCTTTTCCTCTAGACTTAAAGAGTGCCCCCTTGTCCTTTGAAATGACCTGACAGTTAATAACTATAAACCAAGTTCACTCTATGGACCACTAATGTATTTACACATGTTGATCATATCCCCCCTTAACGTTCTCTTCTCAAGAGAAAATAAATTCAGTTCAGCTAATCTTTACTCATAGCTGAGCTCCTCCATGCCTGGTTACCCTACTCTGTACTTTCTCCAGTTCCTGGATATCCTTTTTGTGAATTGGTGCCCAAAACTGAACTGCATATTCCAGATGATATCTTACTAATGATTTGCAGAGGCACAAAATGATGTCTCTCTCACTCTGGATTCTATACCTTTTTTAATACAAATATGTGTCTTACCAATTTTAGAAACTGCAGCTTAGAACTGCATGTTTCTATTATAGAAGTATTAAACCCAAAAGCAAACATTTATTTTATTGCAGCTTACCAATGCTGCATTCGTTTTCATTTTTTAGGCTTTTGTTCCTTTATTTCCCCCCCAATGATCTAGTCAGTACTTCAACAGAACAGGTTCTCATGAAAATGTAGCAGTTAGAGCATTGAGACAACCCATTTATCACTGACAGGCATGTTTACAATATTCAACGTTTATTTATTCATGTAAAACCCTTATCCCAAAAGAACACACATTTAGCTGCAGTGTGAGCATGAGCTTGGCTTCAATTTGTTAGAGTATCTAAATCTGCTAGGCCATCTAACACTCCCCTCCCCTCAGACTGACAATGGTGCTGTCCAAAGGTATCCCTGTGCTCCTTCATCCAAAGTGTAGGCACTTTAATACAGAAAGTGTGCTACTGACCAGATCACCAGGTGAAAACAGAAGGGAAAAAAATCTAAATAAATAAATAAAGCAGCTACCACATTTAAAGATTGATAAGCTGTAATATCTTACATTTTTGGTTTGGGTTTAATACCATTTTAGGTCTGTGATCTACCAGAACACCAAGATCCTTCTCTACCATTGACTCCTTTTACCTATTCTCCTCCTAGTATGTATAAGGTATGCATGTTTTTATCCCCCAAGTGCATACATTTACATTTATTAACATCAAACCTCATTTCTACATAGTTTCCAGTAGAACACTTTTGGTACCTGTTTTGTGTAAAAGTGAAAGATTTCAAAACTCATTGGCCATTAAAATTGATTTTTTAGAGTATATACATAGCTATGGTAGCCAATATAGCTGCAATAGTATCCAGCACAGAGGGAAAATGCAACCTATAGCTCAATGTTCTTTTTCCCTAAGGCAGCATAATGTTTATTCTAGTAGGTGTAAATAAAGAGCAA